TTTTATCAGACAGTATTTAAAAATATATTTATTATTTTTATTTTATGTGTATGAGTGAATTGCCTGCATGTATGTAAGTGCGCCTGTGCCATGCAATGCCCTTGGAGGTCAGAAGAAGGCATCAGATTCTCCTGGAACTGGAGTTAGGATGGTTGCTAGCCACCATATATGTTCTGGGAATCAAACCTGGGTCCTCTGCAAGAGCAGCCTGTGCTCTTAACCATTGAGCCACTTCTCCAGCCACTTACAGACAATCTTAAGCCTTGCCGTTTGCCCTGTGTAATGAGCTCTTATAACAGGTTGGATGGATGTTTGCGTCTTAAGCCTTGCCAGTTTTAGGTGGATTAAATACTAGTGCCGTTTGCCCTGTGTAATGAGCTCTTATAACAGGTTGGATGGATGTTTGCAGACCAGTTGTCAAACTTTTAGTTGCTTCGGGCCGCTTGATGCGCTGTTCATTTGTTGGACTTCGTCTTTGAATAAACCAGTCTCTGGTTCATTTTGGCAGCTGCATAATATCCTCTTCCTTGGTTTTTAGAGATTGTTGTATACTAATTGGATTTTCTGTTTAATTTCCTTTCTAAGGGCTGGCACAGTCTGGATCCTGGGGTTGTTTTGATGAATTTAACCGTATCGATCTCCCTGTTCTCTCGGTTGCTGCCCAGCAAATTTCCATTATTCTCACGTGTAAAAAAGAGCGTAAAAAATCTTTTATTTTTACTGATGGAGATAATGTGACTATGAATCCTGAATTTGGACTTTTTCTAACCATGGTAAGGAATTATTAGAAGAGTTATTGAAGTTCAACCTTGTAATTGATGTACCTCTCCACGGTCCTGTCATCTGTGTTTCATGAATGGAAATTGGGCTTGTAATTTTCATTGCTGTTTGAAAACCTTTAGTGTTAAACAAAGCTCATATGAATAACTTATGACTTGTTCTGTCCAGGTAAAAAGAGAGTGAAATATGTAAATGAGCCCTACCACCTGTCATTCCAGATCTGTAGTGTGTGCATAATGAATCTTTTAATAGTATGCCAGTGCGTCCTTGTTGCCCCAGGAGCATGTCATTCGTCTTTGGGTTTTGCTTTCTGTTTAGAATCCTGGCTATGCTGGGCGGCAAGAGCTCCCCGAAAACTTGAAGATCAACTTCCGATCAGTGGCCATGATGGTTCCTGACCGTCAGATTATCATCAGGGTGAAGCTGGCCAGCTGTGGCTTCATTGATAACATAGTTCTGGCCAGGAAGTTCTTCACACTCTACAAGCTATGCGAGGAGCAGCTTTCAAAGCAGGTGTGTTGTTCTAAGGTCTTTATGGAGTCAGCCATATTTCATCCTTTTACAATACATTTTTTATTGATTTCTGAATTAGACAGTCTATTCAGATCCTTCCCTCTTCTCCAGCTCCTCCTCACTGCCCCCACATTTCATGTCCTTCGTTGTTATCCCTCTTTTCTTTCTTTCCTCCTTCTTCCCTCCCTCCCTGCCTTCCTTCCTTTCCTTCTTTCATTTTTGTTTTTTAAGAAATGTATTGATTCCAATCTGTCCCTCCCAAGTGCTCCTGAGTGTGGGTCTGTGCCCTGGAATCTGATCAGCCTTCCAGCTGTCACACCAGTTAGGAAAACTTACTTTCCCTCTCCCAGCACCTTCAGTTGTTAGTATATTCTCAGCTAGGGCTGGGGCTTCCTGCCCACCTCCCCCATCCATGCTGGGCTCCTATCTTTCTTGGGTTTGCACAGGTCTTGTGCAGGCTGTCATAAGTGCTGGGAGGTTGTACGTGCAACTATCCTGTGGTTTTCAGACAGCATGGGTTCCTTGTATTCATCTACCAACTCTAGCTCTTCAGCCTTTCTGCCCCCTCTTCTACAATGATCCCCGAGCCTTCAGAGGCAAAGGTGAGATAAGGTGTCCCATTTATTTTCTGCATGTTGACTATTTGTGGGTCTCTGTGTTAACTGCCATCTTCTACAATATGACCTTCTTTTCTCTGGTGAGAGTTGAGGGATGCACAAATGTATGGATATAACAATAAGTCATTGTGAGCCCATTTAGTACTATGCCTGTTTAGAAGAATGATAATAGTAGGTTCTTCCCTATGGTCTGTGAGTTGTCTAGGCACAGGTTCTTGCCCTGATAATAGTGCCAGGTATGAATTTCCTGTTGTGAAGCCAGCCTTAAATCCAATTAGAAGGTGACTGGTTACTCCCATTATACTTATACCACTATTATACCATTTGGCATACTTTGCCAACCAGTTGCCACTGTGACTCACTGGGTTCACACCTGGTCAGTGTTTATGATTATCTGTCTCTATAGTAACATGCATAGCACCTTCTAGTACTATGAAATCTAGTCAGCAGCGATATAACTTTAAGGTCAGTACCAGATTAATTTCTCCTTGTTTGTTCTGAGACTCAGATATGCAGTGTCTGCAGTAATGGAGTCTTACTGTTCAGTTCTGGTGGTAACCAAGTGCAATGGTGATAGTATTGTTTGAGGATCTATGGGATCTCTTTGGCCAACAACTCCACAAGAGAGAGTCCATTCCTGGCACTTGGCTTTTCAAATGCTAGTCTGTTAAGGCCATTGGACCCCTGTTATAGGGTAACTATCTTTAAACTTTTTTTGTATTGTATACATATATACTGAGAGAAACCTTCCATAGTAGGTTTCCACATGACTGTTTCAAAAGGTCTTTACTGTTAGTGATCCCTCCTCTTACCCCTTCTTCTGTCCTACCTGCCTATTCCCAACCCCACTGAACCGATCTTATATCTTATTCCCCTTTTCCATTTATATCGCTGCATTCTATCTCCCTGTCTGTGAACCACCTCTGCCCCATGGCACCTTATTAGTTTCCTAATCTCTAAGGATTTTCCAATGGAATCACACCTACCTAAAGATTGAAAACTAGCATCTACTTATGAAACAACACATGACATTTGTATTTCTGGGTCTAGGTTTCCTCACAGGATAATTTTCCATCCATTCTTCTGTGAATTTCTTGTTTGTTCTTCTTAACAGCTGAACAATATCCAATTGTGTAAACGTACCATGCTTTCATTATTCATTCAGTAGTAGATGGACAACTAGATTGTTTCCATTTTCTGGCAATTGTGAACAAGGCAGCAATGAATACGGATGAACTGGTATCTCTGTAGTAAGATACAGTCTTTGACTATATGCCCAAGAGTGGTGTGGCTGGATCTTATGGGAGACCTGGTTTTAGCTTTTTGAGGAATCTCCACACTGATTTTCATAGTGACTGCACCAGTTTGCACTCCCACCAGCAGTGAATAAATGTTTTCCTTTCCCCACATCCTGACCAGCATTTAAAATCATTTGGCTTTTTGATCTTATCTATTCAGACAGCAGTAAAATGAAATCTCAAAGTGGTTTTAATTTGCATTTCCCCATGGCCAAATATGTTGAACATTTTGAAAAGAATTTCTCAGCCATTTGCAAGGTCTCTGCTTAGTTACTTGTACCAATTTTTAATTGGTTTGTTTATTTTTTTTGCTGTTAAATTTTTTGAGTTCTAGATATTAGCCTTCTGTCAAATGTGAAGCTGGTGTAAATTCCACCCCCCCCATCCTTTTCTTCACTGGCATGAGGTATCCTTTGAAGTCTAGAAGTTTTCTAGTGTCATGAGGTCCCATTGTCAGTTGTTGGTCTTAATTCCTGTGCTACTGGTGTCCTGTTCAGAAAGTCCTTTCCTTTGCCTATAAGTTCCAGCGTAGCCCCTAGTTTCTCCCCTATCAATTCAAGGTATCAAGTTTTATGTCCATGTCATTGATCCATGTGGAGTTGAGGTTTGTACAGGGTGAGAGATAGGGATCTGGTTTCATTCTCCTACACAAAGGTAACCAGTTTGACCATCACCCTTTGTTGAAAATGTTGTCTTTTGTCCAAGGTGTGTTTTTGACCCCTTTGTCAAAAATCACAAGACATTAAGTGCATGGACTTAAATCTGGGTTCTCAGTTCTATTCCATTATTTAGTGTGTCTATTTTCATACCAGTGCCATGTTGTTATTATTACTGTAGCTGTGCTGTATAATTTGAAATCAGGCATGGTGATACCTCCAGCATTTGTTTATTGTTCAGGATTGTTTTGGTTATCCTGTCCCCCCCCCCACCCTGTGATTCCATATGAAATTTGAGATTATTTGTGTTGAAATTTTAATGGGAATTGCACTGAATTTGTAGATTGCTTTGGACAGAATGGCTGTTTTCACAATATTAATCACACGGATGCATGAATACATGAGGCCTTTCCATCTTTGGTTCTTCTTTATTTCTTTAGTGCCTTAAAGTTTTTATAACACAAATCCTTCACTGCCATTAGATTTAGTCAAAGATTTTGTGTTTTGAGCGATCATGAATAGGATTGTGTCCTTAATTTCTTTCTCAATATGTTTGTTGTTATTATAGGAAGGTTACTGATTTTTGCATGTAAATTTTATATCCTGCAACCTTGCTAAATGCTCTAGGAGTTTTCTGCTAAAATCTTTAGGGTATTTTATGTATAGGATCATATTATCTGCAAATAAGGATACTTTGACTTCTTTTCTAATTTGCATCACCTTTATTTCTTTCATTTGTCTTACTGTTCTAGCTAAGACTTCAAGAACTTATTGAATAGGAGTGGAAAGAGGTGGACATCCTTGACTTGTTTCTGATTTTAATGGGAATGCTTTCAGTTTTTCTACATTTAGTATGTTATTGGCTGTGAGTCTGTGGTATCTTAGCTTTATTATTTTATATCCTCTGTCTAGATTCTCTAAGACTTTTTTTTTAATCATGAATGGATGTTGGATTTTGTCAAAGGCTTTTTCTGTATCCAATGAAATGATTATGTAGTTTCTGTGTTTGAGTTTGTTTATGTGATGGATTATATTTATTGATTTATGTATGTTGAACCATCCTTGTATCTCTGGGATGAAGCCAACATGATCATGGTGGATAATCTTTTTGATGTGTTCTTTCATCCAGTTTATGAGTATTTTATTGAGAATTTTTGTGTCTATGTTCATAAGCGTAATTGATCTATAATTTTCTTTTTTTGTTAGGTCTTTGCATGGTTTTAATATCAGAGTAATACTGTATTCATAGAAAGAGTTTGGGACTGTTCCTTCCTTTTTTATTATTGGAATAATTTGAGGAGTATCGGTATGAGTTCTTTAAAGGTTTGATAGAATTCTGTGTTGAAATCATCTAGTCATGGGCTCTTTTTAGTGGGGAGGTTTTTAATGATCTCCTCTATTTTGTTGGTGTTATGGGTCTGTTTAAATTATTCATGTCATTTTGATGTAACTTTGATAGGTCATGCATACCTAGAAATATATCCATTTCTTTTAGCTTTTACAGTTTATTGTAATGTAGACTTTAAAAGTCTGTCCTCATAGATTTCTGGATTTCCTCAGTGTATATCTCAGCCTCCTAGAATATTCTCAGTTTGAAATACTTTAGAGTTCTTTTTTAATTATTTGAGAATTTCATGATGCATATAATGTGTTTTGATCAAACCCATCTCCCATTCCCTCCTATTCAATTCCTCCCCTATCCCTTCCATCACCTTTCATGTGCTCTTTTCAAAAATCCTCGGAGTCCACTCAGTGCTGTCAGTGTGTGCATGGGTATCAGGCTATCCCTTAGAATGTGGGTAGCCTCTCAGGGATTGTATTCCTGGAGAAATCTGATTCTCTCCCAGGAATCATCAATTGCCAATAATGCCCCAGCATGGACTAGAGTTCTTGACAAAGGTGCCTTGTAATATTAAGTATAAGACTATAGCATGACAAAACTGATGTGTGTGTGTGTGTGTGTGTTCATGCAGGCTCATGTGCATGTGTATGCCTATGCACATGGAGACCCAAGGTCAACCTCAGGAGTTGTTCCTGAAGGTGCCATCCACTTTGTTTTTTTACGATAGGGTCTCTCACTCACCTAGAGCTAGTTAAGTAAGCTAGGTTCATTGACCACAGATCCTCAGGGACCTTTCTGCCTCTATCTTCCCAGGCTTCTGTGTTCCACCATGCCTGGCTTTTATTTTTTCATGGGTTTTAGGGATTGAACTCCAGGTCTTCATGATTATACAGGGAGCAATTTGCATACAAAGCTATCACCTGAGTCTCTGCAAAACTAATTTTGTCTATAGAGTTTTGTTAAAGAAGTACATTTAAAAAAATTAATATTTATAACATAGATGTGAAGTAAATACTATTTAACCTCATTTAAGAGCTGTAGCATTAAAGATACTAATGTTATTAATTTGCACAACCCATGCATTCATCATGATGTGCTGTGGGATGTGGTTTCAGAACTCTCTTAGTCACTTATCCCTCTTGCTCCCAAGCTCACCTGTGATTTGACCAAACTTGATTACTTGTTTCCTCTGTTGTTACCTCTTACTAGCTTCTTGTACTGTTTGGAATAACAGATCATGAGGTTTACAAGTTAGGAGATATAAAATTAATCACATATTACATCTGGATTAGTTACCTATTGCTGTGTAACAATCTTTTTTTAAAAATATTTATTTAATAACCGTGTAATTAGAAGAAGCATTTCATTGCAACAGCATTGACATATTCAATAACAATTTCCAGAGCTAAGATGCATCTCTTTCAAAATTGGCTGTAAATTCTTAGGTTTACAGTTGAATTGATACAGTTATACAATATTGTACTCTGTATAAACTCTAGAAGACATAAATTAAATGAGGTTTTAAACTTTAAAAAAGATCTCCATTTCATTATTAAAATACACAGTTTCATACAGACACTAAGATGCACATGCGTTTCTAATCTCTATGTATCTGTTTATTACTAGTCACAGTCGGTTACTTTCTGAGCTCCTTGGCATCTAACCATGGATATAAAGTCAGGTAGATCAGGTAGATTTCAATGGCAATGTTTTTCACATCTACTAATTATTAAGGAGCAAATTTTTATGCTTTGAAGAATAATTTTTTTTTCTTTTTTTCATTTATTTATACACCCACTTCCCAGGTAACACCCTCCCATAGCCTCCCTCCCCTCACTAGAGCCCTTATTGCGTAACAATCTTAATCACAAACAGTGGCTGGAAACAATACAGACTATTTCATGTTTATGGGACTGAAGTTTAAGTAGTTCCTGTGCTACATCACAAGGCTGCAGTGAAGGTGTTGGCCAGAGCTGGAGTTTCATCTAAGTCTTGACTGGGGATCAATTTACTCTCAAACTCACTCAGATTGTTGGCAGAATCCTATTTCCTGGGGTCGTTACCCGAGGCATTCAATTCCTTACTTGATTTTAGCTTGATATCGCCTTCAAATCCTGTAGGTTGTGTATAGTTCTTTGCTAGATGAGATTTGCTAACCCAGTCACTGACTTTCTCCAAGTCAGCAAGGAAACAGGTTCCAGCAAAATGAGGGCTGCAATCTTACATAATGTGACCAAGTAATTGTGCACACATAGTCCTATACAGCCTGTAATCTCTGCTGGAATCAAGTAGTTAAAGGCAAATCACAGTACCTATCCTCACTGAAGGTGAGAAGGTACTGCAAGGCTATGATGGAGCCAGGTATTAAGCCACAATCTTGTAGCATTAGTATGAGCCACAGAAAGCATAGTTGAATGATGACCAATGCATTAAAATGCAGAAATACACCTCCTAATGTGCAGCTTCAATCTGTTTCCTGATTCAGGCTTCCATTCTAAACTTCATTGAATTTGGGCTGTTCTATTCTCATAAGCTCAAATTGCCTCCCCCTTCAACACGGTTTCCCTGTGAGTGACCCTACCATCAAGCTTTCCCGCTTAGGCTGACCTCATCCTAACTTTCCAGTTTTTGCTGCCAACAGTCTTGGCTTCTTCTGCGTAGCCCAGCCCTTATTCACTCATTTTTACCTCTCCACTGTCAAAGAAATGAAAACCTCCCCTCTTCCCGACTCCCGTCCTTGTCTTCAGTACTTCTGTGCCTCGTCCCATCCTTGCTGCACCCATGTTCACAGGGTCACCATGAAATGACGGGACTCTGTGCCTGAAGAGCAGCTGTCGCTTGTAGATCTCTCACTGAGCATTCTGGGGCGTCTCCCTTCCTGCCCACATACCTAACCCAACTCCAGTTCTGAAAGGAAGTTTTCTTTCATTAATTTCACCCACTGGCACTTTTAACTTAGGGTTACTTTTATGCACATTTATTTGTACTTTTATTTCATTGTCTTTTTTAAGAGCCTCATCTTCTTGAAGGCAGGACCTCAACTTGAATGAGTCTCTGGGCTCCATCCTCTAAGGCACTGATCCAGGCACACGGCTCCCAGCTACTTTAACAGATGACTAGTTGTTTTTATTTCTATTTTTGCTTTATACTGTTATGATTTTATTGTGATAAAATACATAACATTAAATTCACCATGTCAGTCATTTTAAGTGTACAGTTCCATAGTCTTAAGTATATCCACAATGTATAGATTTGTAGAAATATTTTTCTTCTTGCAAAGCTGAAACTCTGCTGATTGACGTTTCCTTCTTCTCCCTCCTCCTCAGTCCCTGGTAACTTCTATTCTAGTTTCTGTTGCTACCAATTGAACTTGATACCTCATGTAAATGAAGCTATATAGTGTTTGGTTTTCTTTGACTGACATAGTTTAGTTAGCATAAACTCCTCAAGGTTCATCTATGATGTGGCGTGGTGTTCCTTCTCTTTATAGCTAACTCCTACTCCACTGTGTATGCGGTGCTCGCTTACACATTCACCTGCTGCTGGCAGCCAGCATTTGGGCTGCTTACCCCCTGGCCTTTGTGAGGAATGCTCTGATGTACATGGTTGTGCAAATATCTCTTTGAGACCAGGCTTCAGAAGTGGGATTGTTAGGTCATGTGGTAGGTCTGATTTTTCCCATTTTAAACATAATGACTTACTGTTTTACAAAGGCTGGCTAGGAACTTGCTATGTAGACTTGGACTTGAAATCCTCCTGCCTCGGTCTCTCAAGTGTTGGGATTATAGGCATATGCCGGCACACCTGGTCTGGTAGCACTATTTTTAATTTTCAGAACTGCTAGTTCTATTCCACAATGGTTGAGTAATGGAATTTTAATTATTTACTTTGATGTACTGACATTTGGTATGTTGAGCTTTTACAAATGTGTTACAAGGGCAAAGCTGGGGCGTTTCCTCCAGGCTTCTCTGGGATATGGATGCTCTTCCTGCTACTTAACATTCCTTTCTTAGTAGTGAAGGTTGGGGTGTATGTGGTCTGAGTTCAGTTTTGGTTCTGAATTTTAGCTTTAGAAATATGAATAAATTTTCATACTTATGAATGATTAAGAGGAAGTGCAAGGGAATGTTTAGAGCCCCAGATGATAAGTCTACCTTTCCCCCTGTCTAGACACATCTTAGTTTTAACCTAAGGGCTTAAGCTAATGATGATACAAGAATATCTTTTGGATATACTCCATTTACTCAAACAGCATACCAATAAGGAAAACCTTTGCTCAACTGTTTTTTTTGTTTTAGGGCAAATGAGCATCGATTTATTGTCTTTAGTAAAATTGTGTTGTTTCTGTGGGTGGGAAATACTGGCAATAAGACCAATTTCTCTTTGTTTTTTCAGGTCCACTATGACTTTGGCTTGCGTAACATTCTGTCAGTCCTGCGCACACTGGGGGCAGCAAAAAGAGCTAGCCCCATGGATACAGAATCCACCATTGTCATGCGTGTGCTTCGAGACATGAATCTTTCCAAACTGGTAAGATTTGCAGATGCAAGTGTTCCATCTTCTTAAACATGAATTTAACTAATTGAGCACAAATGAGATTTTGAAGATTTATTTAAAATGCTCACTTAAGTGTTAGAGAAATGGCTCAGCAGTTAGGAACACTGTTTGCTCTTGTAGAGGACCCAGGTTCACTTGCTAACACTCACATGGCAGCTAACTCTTGACCTTACTTCAGTTCCAAGGGATCCAATGCCCTCTTCTGGCCTCTGTGGGCATTGTACACATATGGTATGCTTACATAAGTGCAGACAAACCATTCATAGGCATAGTACAAAACATTTATAATGCTCATTTAAGGGGTTAGAGAGATGGCTCAGCAGTTAAGAGCACTGACTACTCTTGCAGAGGACCTGAATTTAGTTCCCAGCACCCACATGGTGGCTCACAACTGCCTGTACCTCCAGTTTCAGCATATCTGACACCTATTGGCCTATGAGGGCACCAGACACACTTGTAGTACACATACATACATGTAGGCAAAACACTCATATACATAAAATAACAATAAAATGCATTTAATTTTATGTCTTACAGTGTTTATACTGAGTTCAGTATTGTATAACTGTAATTAATTCAACTATGAACCTAAAAATTCACAGCTACTTTTTTTTTTCCAGCTGGATAGAGTTTATTGGCAGGGAAAATGCACAGGACAGTCCCCAGTTCTGGACAGAGGAGTCGTTGGTTTACAGGCTGTTGGCTGGGGGCTTTTATAGGGATTTTTTGGGGGATGCAGAAGGTGGGAAGATATTTCTTAAAACAAGTTAGGCAGGGGAAAGAGTCTAGGGCTTATCAGGAGAGGACAGCCTCTGTCAAACCACCCCCTTCTGTCCCCTTCCATCAGCCAGGATCTGGGTCATGGGATAAGGGGTCTATACAGTGTGAAACTTAGGGGGAAATAGCTTGTACTGAGACAGTTCCTACATCAGTGGGTCTGGACTGAAGGGGCCTGTTTATCTTCTAAGATTATCAAAGGGGAAACAGGCTGTGCTGAGTTGGTTCATTGCAGTAATCAGGTCTTGAGTCAAAGGTGTAGAGAGTCTGTTTATCTTGTCTGAAGGTGATCAGGGTGCTCATTAACTCAGTTCCTGTAATTCCAGAGGGCCTGCAAAATCATGAGGCCCTGTTGCTTTGGGGAGTGGGTTGATGTAGATCCAAACCCTAACATTCCAGTCTTTTGTGTTATAGGATGGGGGCACCTTCGTTGTCATGCTGCTGAACATGGTCGACGTGGGGGAGGCTGGATTAGGGATTGGTCAGACAGTAGGGGTTTCCACCTCATGCATCTGAACAGGGTCCTCGATGGTTGATAGGCACTGGTATACATGTGCAGGGAAGGAAAGTAACAGCTGATTAAAATTAGTATGAGTTAGTTGTTGAATCCGGCCCTGAAAACGTCTGAAGAGGCAAGGAACAATGGTTAACACCAAAGTAACAGAAAGCAGGGGGCCAAGTAAGGGCAGAAGCCGGGGAGTCAGTCCTGTAAAAATATCCCATTGAGGTGATTGCTGGTACTGGGAAGTTTTAAGTGAGAGATAAAATCTTTTAGGGATAAGAGCTCCCAAATACTTTTAACATTTTTGGCCTTTGAAACAGAGTACATTGCTAAAAGGCCCAAGGACAATTTGACTTTTACCCAAGAAAGAA